TCCCTATAATCCTGTCCATGCCCTCGGGGGGCACAGGATCAAAGTCATCCCAGATAGTCTCCACAAGATTCATCCCTGTCGACTGGCCCGAATCTACCCAGTCAGAGTCCAAGCCTGTCCGGATCTGAGCAATTTTATCCTGCAGATACTGAACAAATTCTTCAGCCCTACCTTGCACAGAATTAACATTCTGTGTTAATTATTCACAGAATGGACAGCTTTTTCATTTCATGTTATATTCCAACTCAAGCTATGAAAGCTGGTGACTTTGCTTGAGTTTGCTGTCTCTGGATTTTTTTTTTTAGAAGAGAGGGAAATTCATGAACTTCTGGTCACTTCTCTGAACCTGACTTCCCAAGCTTTTGAAGTTCACCCATCCTGACCTCAAAAACCATGTGGAGAAGCCATCAGCTAGGAAAACAGAGGTGGAGAACATCAAAGACATAATTGGAAGCAGCTGTGCAAATTATCAGGGAAAGGATAATGGAGAGATATGTACCTATGTGTTTATCTATTTAAACCCTTAACCTGTTGGGTGCATCTCAGAGTCCTTCTAGAACTCTTTCTAATGAAGCTGGCATTGGCTGGGCATTCACTTTGTCCTCCTTGGCATAGCCCTTAAAAGAAAGTGTAACATCTTTTGGCCTTTAGTAGTAAAAATCCGGAGTTTTGGAGAGGAGGCGGAATGGGGCAGATAGATAGAGTTCTCTATAAAGAAAGGTCAATCTTGGGGCAAGTGCTTGATGGATGGCCTGTAAAACTGGAAAAGAGTTAGAGGTCATGCAGAGGCTGTGAAAGGTGGTTTGTGCTAGTACCAGCATCAAAACGGAAGGCATGCATGTTTGACTGAAGGTTGCTTCTCCTCTGGCCTCCTGCTCCTGACCATCAATCATACCTCATACTGGCAACCGAACAATTTGTTAGCCTCTGAGTTGACCTATGCCCCATTCAAGTGCTGAGCCTGTGTGCTTGCATGAGCTCCTGGTTGATGGATGATCCTTTGCCAGCTCTCTGCTGCCAGTGCTGTTTTGGAGTCCAAATCATAGAACCAAGTTCAAAAGTGGTGAGATGTTGGGCAATAAAGGGACAAGGCAATCATGGGAGTGAAAGCTTGGAGGACAAATCCCAGCAGGGTTGTTTTTAAACAGCTAAGAAGATCCCAGAAGGTGATGTATCTGGGTTGGATTAGCATGATTCTAATTCTTCAGCACTGATGAAAGAAAAATGGGCACAAAACTTGGTTGAGGAAACATGAGCTTTACAGAGAGCCATGGAGCAGCCAATGCAGCAAAGGCCATAGAATATATCTGACCTCAACTGAGGGTCCCAATCCTGAGATAACTTTATCTTTTGAGGAGGAGGTTGATCCTCTGTCTGCAACTTGAATGGGAATAACAGAGTTGGAAGGGATCTTGGAGGTCTTTTAGTCCTCCAAATAGGAAACCCTTTACTATTTCAGACAAATCATTGTCCAATATCTTCTTTAAAACCTCCTGTGTTGGAGCACCACAACTTCTGGAGGCAAGTCCTTCTACTGATTAATTAATTCTGTGCCTTTATCTGGGAAGAAGGATGACATTTAAGGAGAAAAGGGTCCTTACATTTCCTTACTGTGCAAAAATAGGTTTACTTTCCACTCTTTATTTATTTGTTGATTCAGCTTATATATGGCTCCATTCCCAACAACTTCAAGAATCATTTCCAAAATTTCAGAAGTGCCATTGCTACTCTCTCTTGTCTTACCCAGACTAATCTTCTGGATGATTGGCTTAAAAATGCAACTACTTTTTAGGTTTTATCAATATTACATGTCAGATTTACTGAGTGAAACACAGTAAATTTTCCTCAAGAAAAAAAATCTATGAACAACAAAAACAATAAAGGGGATAGACTTGTCCTCTGGATAGCAATATTGCCATGAACTTAGTTCAAGTTTTAAAAGCACTTGAACTAAGATTCCAAGTTAAATTTCCTTGAAGCTGATTTAAGTAAACTGGAATCTATCAGACCATTAACATTTCCTGGGAAAATAAGCAAGAGCTGCCATTGGTCGTCATCACCGCCCTCCTCCTCCTCCAGCAATGGATATATACATACATACATATATATATATA